AAAGCCTGTTCTGAGCCCCCGGAATGTATTTAATAATCAGCAGATTCATGAAGGGGAGAGAATTTCATGTCCACAAAAAGGAGTGGAAATACACTGTTCACTTGAAGCTTATAAGCTTTGGCTAGCCTCATTTGGCCTCATTTGGCCCAGGAAAGAGCTCAAAGAGTGGCATCTTATCTTCATTCTTAAAGCGTCATCTCTTCTGTCAGGGACTATCTTGGAGCAGTGTATCAAGCTTTTTACTGTAGGCAGTCGTGTTTTGGAAATGTGCACTGATTCAGGAAAGCTAAATCTGTTCATTCTGGGAAGATTGATACTGGAACTCCAATGAATGGCACCCTGAAATTTTGTGAGTGGGTCCCGGCCCTTGTTACCAGAGGAAGTGTGTGGGAGAGGTGAGGGAGACTCTTGTGGATGTATCAATTCCCAAATAAACAGCCTCTCCTAGCTAGAGCCGGAGCTTCTGCTTTTCTATAAAGAAACTGGTGCAACTGATACTTGTAAAAGATGTCTATTACTGAGACCATAATGCAAATACATGAACCTATAGGAGAGAGGAATAGCAAAGAAAGGATCACTTTAACAAGTACTTCCAAGAAGAGGGCCATCTTCTACAGGCAAACTTTAACCGCTACCATTTACCAGACCCTCTTCCTGTGCTAGACATTTTATCTGCATTACCATTGATTCACATTTGATTCTCATGAGAACCCCTCAAGATAGAGGAAAGCATTGCACTCATTTTGTAGATAAGGGGTTGGGACTTGGCGATGTTAAAGTACTTGCAGTGGTCCTGTGATGGGAACAGTTTCAGCATAGATGACACTGATTACTAAGCACTAGTCACTATACTCCTTCTCAGAAGAGAAGAACTGAGATAACTTAAGAAACAAGAAGGCAGTGGCCCCAACAGCAAGAAGAGGGGTGGTATCTAAGTGAGATCACGTAGCCATTATTAAAGAGGATGCAACAGAATCATACAGCGGGGCTATCAGCAAAGGGCGTATCCTACCATTCGCCCAGAACCGGAAAGATACTATAATAGAAGAGTGTTTAGCCAAAGGAGATGTTTAATGAAGTTGTTCATTAAATGCTTACATCTTACAGTAAAGCCCTATACATGTTTGAACATAGTGATTACCTTTGTTCAAATGCCCCTCTTACCTACTTTCCTAGTCTTGATTAGAAGGCACTTGAACACTGTCAATCTCTGCATCCTCACAGCTCTATTAGCCCTTTCCTGGGGTACTCTTCTCCCCTCCTGGTCTTGCCTATACCCTGTATGGTTCATCTGTTAGGACCTCTAAGGTTTATAATTACATGAAGTGCTTATTTGTTCAGTTACTTTCATGTTGTCCATCTCGTACTCACTGCTTAAGAAGTCAGCATATATCACCATAGAAGGTTAAAATTGCTTTTCTGGATTGGATGAATGTTCAGTAAAGGATTCTGTCCCGTTATTGCAGCTAATGTTCCTTATCTTTTGTGAACATAAGCTCTTTGTCTACTGTATCTGCTTGTTCCTAATATTTCATGTTCCTTTATTCTGTGTTTAGAATAGCTTTTTTTTTAGTTTTTGTTAAAAAAAAAACTCAGTTTTAGAGACAGGGTATCACTATGTAGCCCTGACTGATCTAGATGGGCTATATAGACCAGGCTAGCCTTGAACTTACAGAGTATCACCTGCCTATGCTTTTGAGTGCTGGGACTAAAGACGTGCCACCATGCACACCTATGATGGCTTTTTTTAAATTTCAGAAAGAATTGACTATAGTATTTTGTTTAATGAATTGTGAATTCTAACATATTTACCTATTTGGTATATTTTTAATGATTTGTTGTGTACTTAATTTGTTGCTAGATATAAATTTGTTTTTAATATAGCAAAATTAGGAATTAAAATTTCTAAATGATTCCTCAACTCATTTTTTGGTGTTTTAAAAAATATTTTATTTATTATTTTTATTTGGTGTCTATGAGTGGATTGCCTGCATGTATGTGTCATGCAGTGCCTGTGGAAGTCAGAAGAAGGCGTCAGATCTCCTGGAACTGGAGTTACAGATGGTTATTGGCCACCATGTGGGTGCTGGGAATTGGTCCTAGGTCCTCTGCAAAAGCTGTCAGTGTTCTTAACTGCTGAGCCATCTCTCCAACCCCCTTTTTTGGTCTCCCTGCAGCCCCTGCTGGCTTGGAACTCACTATGTAGACCAGGCTGGTGTCGATCTCACAGAGATTCTCCTGCCACTCCCTCCCAAGTGCTGAGATTATTAAAGGCATGCACCGCCACATTCAGCTTGTTTCTCAACTCCTAGTATAATATTTTCTTCTACTTTTCTTTATGGTTAGGTATAATATATTAATACATTAAATTGATGTTCTTTATGTACATTAACTTTTATTCTATTTATTTGCCTCAATGCTGTTTTGGTACTTCTCTGTTTAAACCATTCTTGCCTTACAAAATTGCATTTCAAATAATCCTAATATACTCAAAGGTAAGACTTTTCTATCATTTTTTGGACATTTTTCTTCCTCAAATTTTCTTAATTTGGCTCAACAGGTCTTTTTTAATTTTTACCCCTAATTTTAACAAAATTTATATTATCAGGCTTGAATATTGGTATTATGAGGTGTGACGTCTTTGTGTTCCTTAAAATTGTGAAAGGACTAATTTCAACATCTGGAGTTACTCAGTAAAATTGTTTGTAGGGATGGGTGTGATTACATGGATTAATCATTTGCTTCTGGGGAGGAAGAAGAGTCTTTATTTAAATCTCACATTGCTTTCTCATGCCAAATACATTTATGTCTCTACTGATAAATGTTCAGCTAGTTTTACTTTCCCAATGTCAAGGGGATTGCCTCCATGTAACCCTGTTCCTCACACTAATTTAAAGAATTTCTCTGTGGGAAGTGTTTGGATAAGCCTTTATTGCAACTCATGGAAAAATATTGGGTCCTGAAACTGTGCTGGAAGTGGTTTTCTTCCCAGGCTTTTGGTTTTCAGTATGTTAGATTATAACCAAAACCCAGGACTTGGGGTGAATATAAGAAAAAATTCCACTTGAAATATACTGTATCTAGTTAAATGTGTTCGAAGAACTGTTTAAGACACAATTGAAGTCTTATGTGAGTTAAACACTTGACAAGTAATGACATGAAATGTGAGGCATTCTATAGTTAAGGATGAACTTCATAAGACATATACAGGATCATTGATTCTTCTTGGTCAGCACTCAGAGAAATAATCAAATAAAAGCCTAATTCTCCATTGCAGGAAGTCAACATTGCAAGTGTGCAGAGTAGGAGTAGGGGAGAGAGAGGGAGAGAAAGAGGAAGAAGGAAAGGGAGAGGGAGAGAGAAAGAGAGAGAGAATTACAAATTACCTTCAATACAGGCAGAGAGGGAGAGGGGAGAGGGGAGCAGGAAAAAGCTCTTCATGAAAAGTAATAAGAGGTGGTTTACACTGAGCCATATGTGAGTGGTCAAAGCCTAAGATTATGAATTCCAGGAACCCTGAATGATATACTCCACATGGGAGAATTTACATCCATTTTTATATCCGTAAAACAAAGTCATAAACCAATGCATTTAACAAATTCTTTCATTGGGACATTAGGTAGGCAAGCTTCAACAAAGCTAGGAAATCTTTTCTATAGCTTTCAGATGTTACTAGATTCTTAGTTTTATGGTTGATGGAGGTTAGAAGTGTGCTAAGCTTAGCAACACATTATGAGAACATCAGATCAAAAAGATAAATTAAGTTAATGCCTTTAAAGGGCATAAGATAGCCTGATAATTTTGGTTCCTAATCTACAACATTCTCTTTCCTCTTCAGTCATATTGTTCTAGTCAGCTATGGTCAAAAAGTCTATGGAATCTCTAATGCAGACGCATCTCCTTCAGAAAACTTCCATTGAAAATAACATAAAACAGTTTCCAAAAATCTGGATGGAAGCGCTAAGTTTGGAAAGATGAATGTGAACTCAGCCAAATCCATTTCCAGATGAAAAGACAGGGTAATCAAATAGGTGTATGTGGGAAAGTGCTTGTCTTGACTCAAGAAAACAAATTATCCAGCATAGTTTGGTATTTGCTGTGGGAAAGGAAAATTATTATTGACCAGAATGTTTGCAAACTCTCGGAAACAGTCCAATAGTTCCCAGCTGGAAAATATTTACTTCATTTTGATCAACATTTATTGTGCAACTAACATCCATAGATCATTGCTGTAAACCTTTTTAAGATATCATTGTTAAGAGGTAAATGTGTCAAGTGCCTGCTGCTCGTAAGAACAAATGACAAAAAGTGTATTAATATTGGAAGACTATACTTTCTTTACTTAGTTGACAATTTCCATGAGAAGATAAATTGTAACAAGTTTCATAAGTGTGTTTAATGGCACAATTCTTACAGCAAGAGCCAAATATCAACACATACAGAAATGTGATTAAACTGTTAACATTGGACTATACATTTGGCTGTGATGTACGTATCATAACATCTTTCAAATGTTTTAGAAGTGCCTTGCTCAAGGGTCTGGAAGTCTGTTCATCTTTCATAATTTCTTACACAAGAACATGTACTGTGTTAAGATTTCTCTGATAGCAATTTTTACAGAAATCAAAAGAATTTATTTTAATTATTTCACCTAGGTGATAAGTTTAACAAATGAGTTATTAACCATCATGTAAGAAATATGATCCATTAAGGGAACTGACACTAAGAAAGTGAAACCAGATAAAAATGGGATACCAAATGTATGCTTCATACTAAGAGCAACCTGCTCTCTGGTTATCTTAGCAAAAATCACCTGGAAAACAAGACAAAGAATAAGTATTGGTCAATAGAAAAAATATATATCTTTTCCAAAGTATGGGAGTTTTATCTCAGAATATCACAGTGAAAAATAAATGCTTTTAGCCTCATAGCAAAAGTACCCTGCTACCATCTTTGGACAATACTTTCTAATTCTTCTTTTTCATTATCTTTAAATACAGAATCCCCTTCACCTACAACTGAGTTTAGAAAATTCATTAAGTTCTGATGCTGATGTCACTGTCTCAATCCTGACCATGAACAACTGGTACAATTTTAGCTTGTTGCTGTGCCAGGAAGACTGGAATATCACCGACTTCCTCCTCCTCACCGAGAATAATTCCAAGTTCCACCTCGGGTCTGTCATCACCATCTCGGCTAACGTGTCCTCCACCAAGGACCTCCTAGGCTTCCTGCAGGTCCAACTAGAGAGTATTAAGAACAGCACCTCCACCATGGTGATGTTTGGCTGTAGCATGGAGAGTATCCGGCGGATTTTTGAAATTTGCACCCAGTTTGGGGTATCAGCCCCTGAGCTTCACTGGGTGCTAGGAGATTCCCAGAATGTGGAGGAGCTGAGGACAGAAGGCTTGCCTTTGGGGCTCATTGCTCATGGAAAAACAACACAGTCTGTATTTGAGTACTATGTACAGGATGCCATGGAGCTTGTCGCAAGAGCAGTAGCCACGGCCACCATGATCCAACCAGAACTCGCTCTCATTCCCACCACGATGAACTGCATGGATGTGAAAACTACAAATCTCACTTCTGGACAATATTTATCAAGGTAGGATGTGAGGCCTGGGTTATATTGTCATCCATAGAGCTGGGCCAGGAAGTAAAATTTTCCTAACTACCCGTTGTGCAGAAATCTTGATTTTGAATAGCTTTGAAGGCCAATAATTTTCCTGAGAGAGTTTGGGGCAACATGAGACTAAGGTCTCGTTGTCTCTCACCTGTAATTTGATTTATAGCCTGAATGTGTGATTCAGGGACACCACTTGACCCTGGTTAAGTCCTTTCTCACTGTTGTGTTCTTTGCACGTTATTTAAAAGCTTTTGTGGAGAGGGGTACTGGAGAGACGGCTCAGTGATTAAGAATGCTTGCTGTTTGTGTAGAGGACCCAGGTTCAGTTCCAAGGACCACATGGCAGCTCACAACCTCCTGTAACTCCAGTTTCAGGGGATCCAATGCCCTGTTCTGGCCTCTGGAGACACCAGGCACATGCACAGTCTATATACATGTATACAGGCAAAAAAAAAAAAAAACACATACACAAAATAAAAATAAATCTAAATGGCTTTGAGCCTCAGTTTTCTAACTAGTAAATCAGGGTGATATTGACTAGCTGCATGTGGTATAATAAATGCACCATGAAATTATATGTGAAAAATGACTAAACCCCATGCTTGGCTCATGGTAGATACACAAGGAATATTTCTTTCCTTGCCTCTTCTTCCACTTACCAGTAGACCTGAACGAATGTCTCTAAATACATAGAAAGAGGAAAATACATTCACATGGAAATGGACCCTTCTCTCTCCCTCCTCTCAGGCCTTGATGCTGAAGGCACATTTTTCTTTTTAGGCTGTAACCACAGCTGGCCTGGAACTTGCTATGTAGACCAGCTAGGCTGGCCTTGATCTCACAGAAATCCACCTGCCTCTGCCTTCCGAGTACTGGGATTAAAGGCATGTACCCCCACTCCCAGCTTTAAGCCACTTTAGACTGTAGTTAAAGGCATAGAATCCAGAGCCATATATGAGCTCTGCCCCATGACTGCTGCATCACTTGGTCAAGTTACGTAATTTCTCTCGGTCTTAATTTCCTACACTTTATGTCTGCTTATATGAAATTTGCAAATTTTTTGAATAAATTAAATTAATATAACTGTAGATCCTGTTACTTATGGAATTATGATTAGATGGTATTGGGTGGATGGATGGATAGATAGATAAATGATAGATGATTGATAGATGATAGATGATAGATGATAGAAGATAGATAGATAGATAGATAGATAGATAGATAGATGGATGATAGATAGATAGATGATAGACAGATAATAGATAAAACTAAAAAATCCAACAGGAGTATTTTCTAATATATTGTTTTTTATCATTTTGTGTTTAATTACATGTATATTATTCTTAGGTGCCTTTCTGCTTAGTAGCTCACTGGATTCAGAAGTTGGAATGGAAAAGCCCATTTCAAATAAAGAATCAGCTTTCAGAGGGAAATGATTCCTATAGCACTTGGGAAAAGGGAAATGTCCTTAAATGATTAGATTTTCATCTGGAATAGGACCACCTGTGGTCAGAGAGGCCAAGTCAAAGAACAAGTTGCTGCTTTAGAGGTGAACCACCTGAATCTTACCTTTAATTATTCTTCGAAGAGTGGACATTTGAATATATTGAAGAATATAAGGTAATTTTGTGGTGTTTTATCTTTAGAAACAAAAATATTTCATAAAAGATCAGTTAGTCCTCATAATTTTGCATAAATGGACTGAGCACTTACTGTGCGGAAGCCATCTGCTCAATGCCATATATGAGGCAGAGTGGGAGACTCAGCACAGCCTATCAACTCCTTAAATAATGTTAACAAAAATATAAAGTAATTCAAATTTGTTTTTTAGAAATCTATTAATGATAAAATTAGATGGTCTGCCATGATAAATTTGAATTATCATAAGATCAAACTCCTTCTACACTTTATTTTTCAGTATCTACCCGGAATTAATGTTTGTGCTCTAGCACGTAACAGGCTCAGGAATTGACCTGAGAAAAATTCTCCTTCACAACAAAACATACAAGCAAAGCTTTGATTTATAGTTTCAAACAGTCATTATTTTTGAAAGATAATCAAACAGCAGAGATGAAAAGTGGATTGTATCATTTAGCTTCTTCCTGCCACACATAGAATGGAGAACACAAGAAAAGCCATTTGGGTTTTTAAATGTTTAGAAAAACCAGGGAGGAATATTTGTTGACTTGGGTTGTGTATACCTTAGGGATTCATTTTATCAAGATCAAATGATCTTTCTAACTCCTAATTTGCCAAGATTTAATTTACATTAAAATCACGTATCTCAGGCTGGCAAGATGGCTCAGTGGGCAAAAAATTTGCCACCGAGCCTAATGACTTGAATTCAATCCCCCCCTGCAGTGACACGTTGAGAAGAGAGAACTGACTTCTGAAAGTTGTCCTCTGACCTCCACACGTGCACTGTGGCACACATACACACACACACACACACACACACACACACACACACACCCACACACACACACACCCACACACACACACACCCACACACACACACACCCACACACACACACACCCACACACACACACACCCACACACACACACACCCACACACACACACACCCACACACACACACACCCACACACACACACACCCACACACACACACACACACACACACACACACACACACACCCCACACTCTAAATGTAGTGATCTTTGAATCACATTGAATCACATATCTCCCTCCACAAGTATTCCCTTGCACTTTGTATTTTGAATTTGTGGTGTTATTTAGCTCATTCTGTCCTCATCTGTATGTCTGACTTCTGAGCTAGAATATAAAGTCCATTAAGTAGACACACTCAGCTCAGCCCAAAGTCTTACATATGGCAGGTGCTCAATAGGTAGTTGTTGAAAGGAAACTGTATATTATATTTGCATCTTCCGTTATCCATCCGCTGTAGAAGAAAATGGGGTAGTTGATGGATAAAATACGACCTGAAATAAACATAAACTTTCAACTTCCTTAGCCACTTACAATGTAGTTTTCTTCTTTTTTAAACTTTCTTTTACTTTTTCTCTTTGGTGAAAGTCTCTACCCTCACAGTTTTTTTTCCACATTTTTATCCACAAAGTTTGAAAGTTGTAAAAGAACACTGTGAGGTTTGGAGCCCAGCGGCAATCCTCATTGTATAAGGGGTCAGTGACAATATTTCATCCCCATGGATGTGTTTCATAAAGAAACTCAAAGAAGTTCAGAAAACATGCCTAGGACTTCTTAAAGTCCCTGAGGAGTACAGTCAAAGAGAAAGTTTCAAAGTATTCAGGACAGGGTGAGGGGAAGTGGGCAAATCCCTGGAAGGAGGCTTTATAATGAAGACTTAAAAGCTGCCTTAAGCCAGAAAACAGCTGTGGATTTTCCATAATCCTTATTTATTTTGTTTAATTCAATCTTTTAGAAAGTTAGTTATTTACAGTCGATAAGTCACATCTGCATACAGTAATTTTCTTAATTGTCCCCAAATTTTGTGAGGCTGACCCCACTCCCTCACTGGGTAATAAAAGGCAGGAGGGTAATGAGCTGTGTTGAGCGGGTGTCAGAGTTATGCAAGCTTTCATTTCTCACACAGTCATTTTCAGTTTGGGCTGACAGAATTGTTAGCATTTTAAAATGTTAATGAAATCGCCAAAAACATGGCATTTGCAGTGTAAGCCTTTAGACTAGGAAAATTATTTCTTGTGACAGACTACACAGACATAATTACAGGTGTAAGGGATTTAATTCTTCTCAGCTGCCCACATGCCCGAGCAGATGTCCATCATGACATGTAGACAAAAGCACTTGAGGACCAAGGTCATTGTGTGATCTTTAACAAGTTATTTGGAAGTTGTTTTACTAAATGTTAATTATTTGAAGCAACTCTAAGTGACACATTATTGTGATAATACCTCCATGAATACATATGTCTGGCTGGACAAACCAATGATCTTTGCTGAACTAGGCTGAAGTAGACATAATATTTGAGTCTTGTTCTTTTAGAATAGACATCTTAATGCATACAGGTAAATTATAAAATGGTAGAATATGTGCCATTTTGTTTCAATTTGTCTTTCTGAGTGAGGGTCTTGCTGTGGACCCTACTGGCCTGGAACTCATGATTCTCTTGCCCTTAAGCTTCCCAGGTGCTGGGACTACAGGTGTGTGCCACCAGGCTCAGTGAGCTAAGAGTTTTTCAAACTATAGATATCTTAACATTTCTCAGTGATATGGTGATGTGTCTTGATAAATGAAAAAAAAATCATGTTTGAAGCAAATTCACAAGCATAGAAAATGGAATATGCAAATTTGTCAAGGCTCAAAAGGAAATTTAATACACTTAGATTATTAATTGCATATAAAGAGGACCTGAAATTACTCTAGAAAAGTGACTGGACAGCATACCACATATGGCTTTTATGCCAGGCTAAGGAGTTTATGTTTTACATGCCTAATGAGTGTCAGCTTGTATATAGAACATTAACCATGCCATATTTATAAAATCACAGTCCTATATCAAATTAGCCAAATAAAGCAATACAGAATAAAAGCCTTAAAGGAATTTTTAAAACCATTTAGATTTTTAAAAAGTTACTGAATTTACTCCCTTGCTGTACTCTGAACACCAGAGTCCATTGAAAGTAGAGGCTAAGAATTCACCCGTGGTTTGTGGGATTTGAATTCACCCATGCTTATATGAATTAATGAATGCTCTGAGAGCGAATGAATCCACTGCTGTTGAAGAAAAACCTCCATGGGTTAATAATGGTCCAGTCAAAAGCAGTCATTCTTTAAGAATATCAAGAGCCTAGACTCTGATAGACACCTTCATCTCCTAGACTTGGGAAGTTTCTGACCTTCAGATTAATTACTCATAGTCTCAATGGCTGTTCTAGTGGCTTGTTTATTTGTCTGGAGCTTGAACTTTGGATGTTGCACATGCTAGTTAAATACCACTAATACCACTAAAGCCTATCC